ATTTGAGTATAGTTGTCAATATTTGAGAGATAAAATACTTCCTTTTATAAGAAATAATTACTACAAAGATGTCGTTTAGCGTGGTGGGACTTTAAATCTCAACTTGAATTAAACTCTGAAAAAGATAGTGATAATGAAATCCTTACTGAAAGTATATGGTATAATCAAAATATTATGGTAGAATGTAAAAGGGTTTACTACAAAGAATGGTATGAACACGGGGTTCGCTGGATTAATGACTTGATTGATAATAATGGTAATTTCTTTCAATTTGAAACGTTTCTAAAACAATTTGACATAAAAACAAATTTTCTGAAATATCATGGTCTTATTTTCTCCGTTAAACAATATCTGCAAAAGATCAATACAGATTTAAAAATATAGTTGCAGGCAACGATGAGGTCTCCTTGGCTTTACTTTCTATCTATTGTATCTGAGGGCTAGATATCATCGTCCAAAACGGAGCAAGAACACATGTTTTGACAGGCGAGCGGATCTTCCAAATACAGCCGGGGTCGCGGGGGTCATGTACCTTTTTAAGTAGTTCCGGAGAAGAAATAGTTCCCTCTTTAAAAGGCTGTATCTCAGTTGTTCTTGGGTCTGTGTTCAAAACAATTAGTGTTCTGGAATCACCAGGACATCATCTACCATACTGGCATACTATTTTTGTGCAGAAGTTTTGGGAACAAACTACTCAGAAAAGTGCTTAAAAACATGGCCAAAAACTGAAAACAAAAATAACTGCCAAACGGTACGTTTTAGCGACTTGACCCGTCCAGGCATAATTGTTGGGAATTTGATTGTGTATCTGTACAAGAAAACTGGAAGTGTTGGAACAATTAGTTCTTGAGATATTTGCTGTCAAACGTTGAAATTTTGGAATTAATTTTGAATTATCTCCCCTTTGCTATTGGGCCAAGAGCCTACAGATTTTTGCGCATCTGTGTTTTTTTGTAAGCCATTCGGAGCATTGGTTTAGGAGTTATGTTTGGTACAAAAATCGGCGGAATAATAAATAATAATAATAATAATCCGTACGATGTACGTATATATCCAACGTATAGAGCTTATGTAAGCTGTACATTGTGTCCCAAAATATATGTCCCACTAATAAAGAAAAATATTGTAATAGTTAGGAATTAAATGTATCATGTCCTATATATCAATTTGAAGCTGAAGGTTAAAGTTTTGTGTAAAGTATGTCAAAAAGTAATGTGACGTTAACGTAAAGTTTTATGACGTCATCTATGACATCATATGGTATGTTTCTTTACTTGAAAATGGCTGATTATGCTGAAATGACATACACTCTGACGTCATTTACACGTCATTAGGCGTTACGTGAACCCTGTATGACGTTCTGGTATGCGTTTTCAACCAACGAATATAGCTCACCGTAAGCTCTATACGTTGTCAACCACCGTAAGCTCTATACGGCGTAAGCTCTTTGCTGTGTAACAACGCCCACAAAGAAAAATAGACACCACTTTTCTGTACGGTATGGTTTTTTATTTATTGGCGGGACGGCAAGTGCGCCCTCTCCCACCAATTAACTATCAGAAAACTCAGAAATGTTGACAGTTCATATCATGGAACGGGTTTAAGCTCAAGTTTACACTCAGTTAAGGGTGTAGAACACATATTGTCCTCACCGGAAGGAATATCTTCAACTTTGAAATCAGTCATTTTCCAGGCTTTTGCAAATAGTACCAACGCACTTGGTAATAAAATCGCCTAAGTCCAAAATGTTTTTGGACTTTGAAGATTTTATTACATAGTGCGTTGTTATTACATAGTGGGTTGCTACAGAGCCCACCACCCTCGTTCCTCTCTTAATCAGTTCTGGAGGTCGGGGTTTGATTAATATGGAGGCTCTTCATGATAAATTCTATTTTCTTGAGTAGTTTTGCACATAAGACTCATGATGACAAACAGGGATTTCCACAGCTATTTTAAGCTTGCCCACAGAATCTGAAATTTTAAGTTGGTTTTGTTGATGGTGATGTACTGTTGGACGGTACAGTGATGGGAGTAAACCATCTGGGATCTGTACTGACACTGGGTCTACACAAACAAAATTAATCATCTCGACCGTTAATTAACTTAGGTCAACCTTTTTGACAACAGTGCACCATTCTCTCCCGCGAACGAAATTTCATCAAATCAAAGGGGCGTGGCTCCGTGACGTAATGTGAGGTATACATACGAGGGTCGCTTTAGAATTCATGTACATTTCCGGGGGTAAATAAACAGGTTTGTCTACAAAGCCGACTCTGACATGTCCGGAAGTACGCCCCTTGCCCGCTTGGAGCGCTGCGGTAGTTACGGTCCAACAGTAGTACTGTCACTCGGATACTGGCATATACTATAGGCCTGCCTATCGACCAAACCTATACTTAAGTCGACATTAAACCTACTTTTTACTCTGTGATTCTTATATTACGAATTACGGAAGCTGGAAGTTGCCCCGACTGAAGACTGTGGTCAAAGCACGAAAACCTAGCGTGTCTGGACGAAAAATAATGCTAATAGAACGGTACTGCAGATATTGTAATATTGCCGTTTCTCGGAATTTCTTATTGAGCAGTTGCTTTGTAAATTCGTCAAACCATTTACTCCCCATTATGTCACATTACACAGATCATTAGTGGCGTCGTAACAGTTGTTAGAACATAGGTTTGGTGTACACTGAAATTAGCGTTAAACAAATAACGTGAGCACTGACCTGGTTACTCGGTCAACATAAGTGCTTCAGTTTTCGTTCACGTAAACAACCTATTCTCATAGCTTATAACGCTTCGGGATGCAATGGAAAGAGGAAATGCTATGGCAACGGATCGTTTTCGAGAGGATTTGAAGTGGGTGAGTGGGTGAATCCGTGGGTGAGTGAGTAACTGAGTGGGTGAATAGATGAGTGGGTGAGTGAGTGGGTGAATGTGTGAGTGGGTGAATCAGAGTGAGTGAGTGAGTTTAGTTTTACGCCGCACTCAGCAATATTCAAGCTATATAGCGGCGGTCTGTAAATAATCGATTCTGGACCAGACAAGCCAGTGATCAACAGCATGAGCATCGACCTACGCACTTGGGAATCGATGACATGTATCAACCAAGTCAGCGAGCCTGACCACCCGATCCCGTTAGTCGCCTCTTACGACAAGACTGGGTTACTGAAGTGGGTGGGTGAGTGAGTGAGTGGGTTAGTGGGTAAAATTAGTGGTTGAGTGAGTGGATTAATCAGTGGGTGAGTGAGGGGGGAATGAATGGGTGGGTGAGTGGGTAAATCACTGTGTGAGTGAGTGAGTCATTGAGTGAGTGGGTGAACGGGTGATTGAGTAGGTGATCACCAGAAAATGGGCTTCATAAACTGTACCCATGTGGGCTTTGATGGGGGACATATTCACAAAAGAGTATATGTTCACAGTGCAATATCGTAGCACAACGTAAGGTTCACCGGGAAATGTTTATAGGGAAATATTATCCAGTGAAACTACATTATGTGACGCCTTTTTTCAGAAACTGCATCTGTCAGTTTCTACTCACCACACTGGTGACTATGTTTCTGGATTTCACTGTGACCGTAGCACTATATGGGTGTGGTATGTATCTATCTTCGAAAACTGAAATATATTTTGAATCTGTGGTTAAGTTGCTTTTCGGTTTAATCTTTCGCACTGTTTAACAAGTGTATCTAGTAGGGGTGTCACGATACACCAATCTCACGATACGATACGTATCACGATTTTAAGGTCACGATACGATACGTATCGCGATACATAATTATCGCGCCTTTTCATAGCATTACCTTACCGGCAACGTACGCGCTCGCTGATTGGTCCATCAAAATAGTCTAGCCAATCACAAAAGCTGTTAGTTTCCAACTTATTTTTTAAGTAAAGCTAGCTACATCTATTTATCGGAGCCATCTGGTATAATTTTACTATCAAGACTTTGACAGAGATGGATATAGCATAAAAATTTGAATCGATAAAGTTTTAAAATAGGAATCGATACACGCAAGCATGTATCGCGTATCGTATCGTCAGTAAAAATGTATCGATGTATCGATACATTCGCGTATCGCAACACCCCTAGTATCTAGTATTATCGAGTTCTGATTTTAATTACCTTTTCGTATACAGCACTAGCCTCCTTGACAACTGGATACCCACACACTGTTACACGTGTCGGCGACGATGTTATCATAACCATGAACCCAGCGAATGTCAGCTTCCCATATGACGTATTGGTGAATGATTCGGTAGCTGTGAGACTGTTACTGGTCCTGCCTAAGTCACACCGTGTAGTGGTACTCAACAGCAGTCACACCGGCTACACGACCAGGATGAGATACACCGGGGAGGACTCACTATCACAGACAGGACAGCTGAGGTTTACCATCTACAATGTTACTGTACAGGACGCTGGTACTTACTACTGTCAAGGAAGCAATAACCAGACAGTTACTGGATGTAGACAGGTCCTCGTTGTAGCACGTGAGTACTGACTGGGGTTAACAGAACTATGCATAAATATGTGAATGCGCCTAAACTAACATGTAATTAACAATATATAAATACATATGTGTGTGCGTGTGCGTGGTCCAGACTGGATTATTTACAGACCGCCACCATACAGCTGGAATATTGTGAAGTGCGGCGTTAAACAACAATCCAACCAACCACTCACTCACCAAGGAGGAAGTAGTTGTGTAGTAACTAGTAACAAACACAATTCGGAGTATTAGTGAGTCGCTGGCTTATATTTTTATTGACAAAAACGGTAAATAGTTCATTAATAAAAATGTCAAAACATTTAGTAAAATCTTCTTTATTGATATTAGCATTATGGTCTCAATGGATTCATATCTTAATATTTGTTCACAGAGGAGCCAACCACACCTACCATCACCGGACCTGTCTCACCTGTATCAGGTGAGAATGTCACCCTGACATGCTCCTCCTCCTCCCGGAGTCTGCCCCCGGACCATCCCCCCACTGACCATGACCTATATCTGGAGGAGGGCCAGGACCCTGCTAGAATCTGGTGATGAGTCTCCTACAGGTGGAGATGATCTGACAATAACCCACATCAGCAGAGAGAAACATGGAGACATCTACAGCTGCCAGGCCGTGGAGGAGGGGCTGGAGTCTGACTGGAGTCACGGACATGTACTGGATGTTCTCTGTGAGTAAGAACTTACCTTGTTTACGGTATAAGACCCTCGTATATCTTATGTTTGAAACTAATACACGAATACCTAAGAAATTTGTCATTGTTATTCGCCTGGATATGTGTTTTAAATATGAGCAAAGGCGAGCACTGAGCACTCAAAACTAACAATACATATATAATTATATTGAATGGATCTGATGATACGGAGACGAATGCATCAGTGTATGTTTATGTCTCGCAATTCGAGCGACAAAAATGCATATTTTAGAGAATGTAAATGCACGGTGATACACAAAGGTCAACACAAGGTTATCTAAAATATTACGAAAAAACTGACTCACTAACAACCACGCGTGCCAAAGTTTCAGGATATTTCAAATAAACATTGCTGAGCGGTGGTCGTTTGCTAAACCAAAGGGGTTTTAACTGGTTACCTTAGAACTAATATATAAGTGTCGATGTTGTTTTAACGTGATGGCAGTATCCATATAAGTAACTGATAAGGACACGCTGCTTTCAAAACTTTTTTAAAGAGCAATATACTGATGGCTTCCTAGAATACATACGATACTTGTTGATATTCCAGGTGAAAAAGTGTAAATTTAGAGTATTTTCTACTTAGGATTGTATGTACATTGACGTTAAAACAAGACAAAACTTTCTTCTCTCATGAACTTTTCATTTACCTTCTGAGGTACCTAGGTGGTCTATTATAAATCTTCCCCGACGCGACACACAATACGACCTGAAAGAAGACCTGAACTGTTACTGAATATGTGACGCCAATGACACCTACCGGAAGTAATGACTCCGTGTCCTTTGTTCGACGTTTGTATGTAACTTGGCGGCGTTCAGCTGGCACTGACACAATACATTTCAACGTTCAGTTTATTACTCAAGGTTCAACTATTGCCTTATGGTCAATTGGACGTCTTACCTGGCTTTGTATTAATTAACCGTAATTATTCAAAGTCATTATTCTGGCGTAAGATGGGTTGACTGTGATGATCAATGTTGCAGTTGATGCAGCTATCATTCCAACTGCGTATAACTTCAGTATTGAATAATATCGTGTTCCTTTAACATTGACGCCAAATGATCGGGGAAGTTACATGTGTTTCCCTCACTACCCCACAAAGGTCATCCCTGCACCCACCCACCTCCACCACTTTGTACATCACAGAAACACAGATGCAACATAAAATGAAGCATACAAATTTATGGATGACAACTTCTTATTTAATGCATAGAGCGACTATTCGAGGTATATCCTTACACCGTTATCAAGATAAAAGTAACCTGCTACTTTCAAACAATCAGATGCAACTTGCTATTTACACATGTGTATTGGGCAGTATTCAGAATCAGTAGGATCAACTTATGCATGTAGTACATCTTCCGTTGTTTGCTTGTGTTACAACGTAGAAGTACTGACCATAGCTCTTTGTGCCTTCCAGATGGGCCTGACCAGATACAGTTTGACGGCACAAGTGACAAGCTGGAGGTAGAAGAAGGGAAACCTGTAACAGTGAGATGTTCTGCTGACTGTAACCCTGCCTGTACTGTAACCTGGTGGACCATCTCCAGACAGACGGTGATTACAGGACAGGGGGAGGCTGTGTTGTCTGTACCAGCTGTAGATGTATCTGTGTCTGGACTGTACACATGTCACGTCAACAACACACATGGGGGTGCATCACGGAACCTGACGCTAGACATACAATGTAAATTCATATTACATGCTCACATTGGGGGCGGTGGGGTAACACAGTGGTTAAAACGTTCACTCGAGACGTCGAAGAACCCGGTTCGATTCCCCACATGGATACAATGTGTCAAGCCCATTTCTGGTGTGCCCCATGATGTTGTTGGAATATTGCTAAAAGCGGGGTAAAACCCAACTCACTACACCCTCGCCATGAACATTGCACTTCAACAACAGAGTGAAAGCCTTATGAGTAAATGAGTCACGGGCATCCTCAATGCAGTACAAAAATAATTATCTTTTTCCATACAACATTAAAGATTATAACGCTGCTTACAAATAATGGCAGTTCAACACATCGTTGTCAAACTTTGATGTACTGAACGTACAGTTGTCTCCCTTTAATTTTCATTCATTGTGTCGAACCTCAGATAACTCGAAGTATTTACGTAGATTCCTTCAAATACAACGATGTTTGACTGTATATCTGATACCGTGTACCCATCACTAGTTCCAGATGACGGACCCCAAGTATCCCTCGTCTTGTATGCAGCGCCCTCTGCTCTCCTGGTCCTGGCTGTGTCTCTCCTTGTCTGTGTGATACGTAGATGCCGAAGACGGAGAGGTAAGCTGGTTGCACTGGAGGAAGCTGCAAAGTTACGGGGCATGGGCTGATCCAGGAATTTTGAAAGGAAGGGGTTCCCGACCCCCCAATGGCTCCGCCAACGCAAAAAATCTTCAATGTGATCTTTAGTCAAAAGGGGAACCCCAAACCCCTACTCCCCACCCCAAACCCTGGATCCGCCAGTGCAGCGAACGGTTGATTCGTGGGTTGGTTGGTTGGTTGGTTGTTTAACGCCGCACTCAGCGACATATTCCAGCCATATGGCGGCGGTCTGTAAATAGTCGAGTCTGGACCAGACAATCCAAGGGATCAACAACATGAGCATCGATCTACGCAATCGGGATACGATGACATGTGTCAACCAATACAGCGAGCCTGACCATCCGATCCCGTTAGTCGCCTTTTACGACAAGCATGGGTTGTTGAAGATCAGTTCTAACCCGGATCTTCACAGGTGTGTACGTTTGAGGATGACGTTATCATAGAAATGCGTGAATAGAAGTCGTACTTGATGACTGTACATATTGGACTTTGTATCACTGTGTAACAATCGGTAATGGTCTCGTTTCTTTTGCTTTTTCAGAACTTCGGAAATTAAGGTAAATATAAACACATTAAAACAGAGTAAACCAAATGTACTTCTTTTTAGGGTCATCTGTTCATTCTTAAAAACATACGTCTAGACAATGTATATTTCTAATTGGTTAAGCATGTTTCATAACTATAAAACGGCTTAGAATGTTTTAAAACGCACCGACATTTACTGAAACTATTCGCTGGATGAGGAAGTACTTCTTTCCGGAAGTTGGTTCTGAATAACCAAAAAACACTAACTCGCAAAATACAACTGTATTTTAAAACAAGGAAGCATTTGCGTATATACAGTGTCAGTGTGGCGCAGCACACCTCGTTATAGCGCGAGTAAAAAATAATCCGACGATATTACTTCTACTTATATTTCTATTTACTTATGCATTTGTCATCTCCAGGTATGCTGCCTACCTGACCGTACTGAACAACAGAGTGTCGTTTGTCAGCAGTGAGTCCCCCTACGCTAGAGTCCATGACGAGGGTGTCAGCTTGTCCCACTCCGGCATGAGGTATCGTGGATCTATTCCTACCCTGACACTTGATTATTTACCTGCACTAAACATGAAGAATGTCTCGTTTTCATCTTTCGCAAAATTGATAATGAAGCTTAAACGGGGTTTGAATAACTTAACCATTGACCCTTGACATTCAAAGAAACCGAAGTATTGCTACGAAAAAAACACATCAGAGCAATTATTCAAGAAAAAGTACCATGCTAAAGTTCAAATAGATAAGACTGATCGTTACAATGTCAATGTCAAGTTTGGTAGGAGCGTGGTAGGCGCCAGTTTTGTTGTTGTTGTTTTTGTGTTTGCTTCTTGTTGTTGGGGTTGTTTTTGTTTGTTTGTTGTTGTTTTGGGGTTGTTTTTTTTGGGGGTGGGGGTGGTTTGGGTTTTTGGGGGTCCATAGTTTACGGAGGTATATAAGTTGATACTTTAATGTTAACCCCATTTCAATATGGTTTGAGAAATAAGTTAGATATAGAGAATTCCCCATGTCTTGTATGATTCATATTCTATTACCAATACTTGGCATTTCTTTTATTAAAACAAAAGGCAAGCCACCTACCTTGTTACACTATTGGGTGTGCATAGAATAATATCACCATATTATTCTCAGTGGACCGAGAAACTATAACAAACAAACAACGCTATAAAACAACCTGGAATTTTCGGCCAAGAACAAATAAATAATTAACTTACCTCTCTCAGCACTGCTAGCTGTCGCGCTCTGTGTATGAAACTGGCATATGGTCACGCTGGACAGTATCACGGATTAACGAGCTGAGCTCCAGACAACTGTGACCCCAGGCTGACCAACTGTACAATGCCGCCCTGCCACAAACAGGGTAATATCTCATAGTAATGACTCGCCTGTCCACTGGAGGTAGCATAGACGGTTCGAAAACAGCAGTAACTCAGACTTAACAAGGGACAATGGCACATCCCCCTGTCCACTGGTGGCATGATGGACGGACAGAAATCTGCTTATAAGGACCCACTGTGCAGTGGTCAGCAGAGACTCGCCTCGACCGCCTCAAGGAGTACATCTCCTCTAGGAGCAGCATCTAGCCAGCCAGCCGCCCTGTGCTCTACGCTCTGCTGATGTTCCTGACCCCCCTCGAGCCCTGCTGTCTGCCACGCCTTCCTGCAGCTCTGAATAAAACCTGATCACCTTCCTTTGCTGTGCTTGTGTTCTTGTTCTGCCCGTGCAACTCTGTTACACGAAGGACGAGACACTTGATTTGGTGCCGAGACCAGGATCTGAAGACCAGGAGTTCGTGCAGCATCGGTGAGTAACTAAGGTTGTTTGTATCTTCACTACGAAATGGCAGCTCCGGAATTAGGAGAATTTTACAGGAATTGCAGGGCAAATCACGGGGCAACTTTCAAATTTGTCAGCAGCGTTAGGAGCTCAGGGCATTGCTAGTGCTGTACCAAATTTCAAGGAGAACCATCCTCCTTCCGTCAATGGGTTAGGTCAATAGAAAATGGGCTATTCTGACTAATGCTAATGATAACCAACGCAAACTAATTGCTTTCCAAAGTAGTTCAGGGACCGTTAGCGATTTCATACAAAGGTATATGAATGATCATGATCAAGCCACTTGGGCAGCATTAAAACAGAATTAGCTCAAAGATTCGCTGAAATTACGGATGCTCAGCATGCTTTCATGTTACTTAGATCTATCAGACAGATGTCAGGAGAAAGTGTGCAAATGTTTGCAGAACGCCTACTCAATTTAGCTGAGGAAGCTTATGCAGGATTAGGCCAGGCTGGGAATGGGGCGGCAGTAGAAAGGCAACTGGTAGGATTTTTTACTGACGGGTTAGCGTATGATTACCTCAAGAAAAAGATTATGAGAGAAAATCCAAACAATTTGGCAGCCGCTGTAACGTCGGCAACACAGGAACAAAATCTTAGGGCCCGTTTTGACCTTAGGCTAGGCAAACAGGGTAGGACAGAACCTCTTTCTCGTAGGACAGAACCATCCCCCCGTAGGCGTAGTGACTCTGTATCACCAAATAGGCATTGGGGCAACAATCACAATAGACAGGAAGAAGCAATGGATGTCAGTCATTTCAGGCCACAACCTCGTTGTCATAACTGTAATAAACCAGGTCATAAAGCTAGGGAATGTCGTCAGCGTAGGATTGTAAATGGTGTCTCCCAACAAGCTATGTCTCCCCCCTCCAGATCCAGACAAATCACGTGTTGGCACTGTAATTTACAAGGTCATATCAGAGCAGACTGTCCAACACTCCGTAGGACACGCCGTCCTAGTCCCAAACCTCAGCGTAGAGTCAGATTCACAAACACTAGTACGGAGAATTCTTTAAACTAGACCCTCTTCCTCAACGAGAAGCCATTGAGGAAGAAACTGACCCTGAAACGTTTTCAATCAATCTAGCTGGTAGACCAAATTCTTGTAGCATAAAGATAGGAAAGCAGAAGTTTAGATGTTTAGTGGATTCAGGCGCGGAAGTATCGATCATACATAGAAGAGTATTTGAGTCATTAAAAGGGGTCAAGTTAGAAAAAAAGAAAGTAGCCTTGCAAGGGGTAAATGGGAATTCATTGATAGTAGACGGAAGTGCTAAAATTCAGTTTAAACTCCGAGGTCTGTCCCTTGAACACAAATTTTATGTCGTCAGCAACATGAATCGCAATGTTATCCTTGGACATGATTGGTTGACAGAAGCTGGTGTTAGGATATATTTCGACCTAGGTAGTATGAGAATAGGCAAAACTTACATTCCTTTAGAAGAAGACATCCATATCTCATCACTTGTTCGAGCAGCAGCTAGAGTGACCTTGGCCCCTCAGAGTAGGTATGTAGTAAGGGCAAAGGTCAAGAACAGAGATAATGTAGGAACAAGCCAAGAGTATCAGTTTACCGCACTAGAAAGAGGATATGTAAGTAATGAATCAGGACTTTTTGGTTAGTAATAGCGTAGTTAAGGTTGACAAGAAACAAGACCTCCCTGTTATGATAGTGAACAATACCAACCGACATATTAGGCTTAAAAGAGGCTGTCTACTTGGTAAGATAGTAAGCCAAGCATCTGAAAATGTAGTTAGCCTGACGGACTTGTTAGATAATGACAAAATTCCCGTTGACAACCAAGAAGACATTGACTTAGCTTCAGAGAATCAGGTTGACATTCAGAAACTCATTGACAGCAATTTGGACTTATTCGCCACAAATGACATGGACTTAGGGCATACTGATACGGTTCGCATGAAGATAGACACCGGCGACCACCCCCCCAATCAAAAAGAGACCCTACCGAACTCCCCTGACCAAACGTCCCATTGTAGACAAGGCCATCAATGAAATGTTAGACGCTGGCATCATTCAAAGATCTCGATCTCCCTATTCCTTTCCGATAGTAGTTATTCAAAAGAAAGATGGTGGAAATAGATTCTGTGTGGACTTTAGAGCGTTGAATAAGATTACCCGTCCTGTGAGCATCCCTCTACCGTTAATCGACGATATTCTAGTTCAATTAGGCGAAGCGAGGTACTTCACGACTCTGGATTTAAAGTCAGGATATTGGCAAGTTTTGATGGATGAGAAGGATAGAGAGAAGACTGCTTTTGCGTGCCATAGGGGACTCTTTGAATTCTTTGTAATGCCGTTTGGGATTGCGTAACGCCCCCTCGATCTTCGTAGAATTGATGAACATTGTACTAGAAGACATGGAAGCATTTGCCCTAGCGTACTTAGATGACATTCTAATTTTTTCAAAGACCCGGAGTGAACATATTCAACATATTCAGGCGGTATTTGACAGGATCAGGCAACATTCCTTGAAACTAAAACTGTCCAAGTGTAGCTTTGCCAAACAGGAGACCAAGTACCTGGGATTCGTGATCAGCGATCAAGGGATCAAGCCGGATGGAGACAAGGTCAAGGCGATCCGAGAGATGAGTTCCCCAACTTCAGTGAAGGAGGTCAGAAGTTTCATTGGTATGTGCAGCTACTACCGGCGTTTTATTCCCAACTTCTCCAAGATCGCCGAGCCCATGATTCAACTCACAAGGAAGTATGCCAGGTTTGTGTGGTCTGACAAGTGTGAACAAGCGTTTAGGTTTTTGAAGCAGAGCCTGACAGCTGTACCATTACTGACATACCCGAACACCAACCGACCCTATGTACTCTACACTGATGCCAGCGACAACTGTGTTGGCGCCTGTCTCACCCAACTTCACCCGGCTGACGATGGAAGCACCGAGGTAGAGAAGCCAGTCCACTTCCTGTCCCACAAACTGTCCGACACCCAAAGCCGTTATTCGACAATTGAGAAGGAAGCGTTCGCCATCCACTACGCCCTGCAGAAACTGGACCACTACCTCCACAATGCCAACTTCGTCATCAAGACGGACCACAAACCACTGAAGTACCTGTTGGAGTCACCAATGCAGAACAGGAAGGTGCAGCTCTGGGCCTTGAACATAGCAGGATACAACTGTCAGATAGAATACATCGCTGGGACAACCAACACCGTCGCTGACCTATTATCCAGAGTCCCGGACAGAAACAACTTGACACAAGAGCAAGCTGAAGAAGAGACAGAGACAGAGATTGAACTTGACGGACCTAAGAACGCTTTGGAGGTCAACGTGATTGATTCAAGCCATGGATCCCTCAAAGACTACGCCAGTTGTGAGCCTCCAGAGTCTAAGGATAACCACAAGCCCGCCACTTCATATGGTACCCTCGACATGAAAACTGAACAAGCCAAGGACCAATCAATTCAAGGGATCAAGGAACAGCTGAACCAAGGACAAGGTGACAAGGCCTCTTTGAAGAGATACATGTTGATAGACGGACTACTATACTTCATCAGTGAAGTGGACGACGAGCCTAACCCGAGGTTGTGTATTCCTGAACATCTGCAGCCAATGGTGGTCAAGCAATATCATGATGAAAATGGACACATGGGCATTGACAAGACATTTGATGCCATCAAGGTGCGGTACTACTGGCCGAACTTATACAAAGGTCTGTACTCCTATGTATCCAGATGTGTCACTTGCCAAGCACGCACCATGAAGAAGCAGAAGCCACCCCTACAGGAAACGGATACGCCGCCATACCCCTTTGCCAAGCTCAGCATGGATCTTAGCGGTCCTTACCCCACCACGCTCTCGGGAAACCGTTACATAATCAGCTTTGTGGACCACTTCAGCGGATGGCCAGAAGCATTCCCAGTACCGACAAGACTGCGGAAACGGTGGCCCATCTGCTCATCGAGGAAATCTTTTCCGCTATGGGTCCGTGCTGCAGCTCCTGACAGACAACGGCTCCGAGAACTGCAACCGTGTGGTAAGAGAAACACTAACAGCCCTAGGCATTCATCATGTGACCACATCCTATTACCATCCTCAATCCAATAGCCGAGTCGAACGTTTCCATAGAACACTTCATGATGTGCTAGCTAAGAAATTAGATGACAATCTGACAACTTGGGATCTTCACTTGAACCAAACGCTAGCGGCCATCAGATTCAACATCAGCGAATCCACCAAGTGTTCACCTTTCTTCCTCCTGTACAACCGAGATGTGGTGTTGCCACTAGACAATTTATTGCAACCCAGGCGAAAGTACCAGGGAGAAGACGAACACAAGA